AAGTTAATTATACCTAAAGTGTGCATTTCTCCAAAAGCATAGCTTCTACTTTCTCATCATTGTATCAGGGTTTAAGAACAAGATGAAAAACGGCTTCCCATTCTCAGTCTGTCCTTTCAATAAGGAAGGTCAATTTCTAGTTCTTTCAGAAACTGCCACACTGCCTTCCAAAGAGGTTGCACTAGTTTGCATTCCCACCAACAGTGAAGAAGGGTTCCCTTTTCTCTGCTTCCTCGCCAGCATCTGTTGTTGTTTGTTTTATTAATGATGGCCATTCTTACTGGGCTTTGGTGGTATCTCAGTGTGGTTTTGATTTGCATTTCTCTGATGATGAGTGAGGCTGAGCACTTTTTCATGTGTCTGTTGGCTGCAGTATATCTTCTTTGGAGAAGTGTCTAGGAATATGAAATTTTAATGGTACTCCTTTTGGTCTTTAAAAATAAGAACGAAAGCAGTTTGACTGTAGTGGGAAAGTAACTCTTTCCTTTCTCCTTTTTCTCCCAAATTCACAATTTTTTTTTCATTCTTGAATGAGGTTGAACTCTTTGTGCGAATTTTTTTCCTTCAGATGGCACACATTACTAAAAACTGGCATATTGTAGCAGTAGATATTCATTTATATATATAAGCATATTTTAAATGTATGGAATCTTTGTAAAATGAAAGTTGAAATGTCCTCCTGTGGAATAAAATTCCATCACTACTTGTTATCTTCTTTCCCGATAATCCTACTACCATTTGAACTGCCCATTTAGACCTTCCTGTTAACAATATATGTTAAATTAATAGTATACTATTTTATGTCTGTTAATATACTAGTATTCCCAAATCTATGTGTGTGTGTGTGTGTGTGTGTTATTTTTTGGGGGAGAGGGCATTTCTTTTTAGTCTGGGGGTCAGTAATATGGCATCTCTTAAGCTCCCAGTAGAGAAGATATTCTGCTCAACATATAGTACGATATTTTTACCTTTCATTGGGTATTCATCCTATTTATAAGTAATAAGATTCCTGTGATTATAGATTGAATATAAGTTGACAGATAACTGACTCTTATCTGTAATGACATGGTCCTCATTCCCTTAAAAACAGGAACATACGTTTTATGCCACTATTAACAGTATCCCATTTAGAAGAAATCCCTTACTTTGCTTCCTTGGAAATCATAGATACCTTGGGAGTTTTCTTATTTAAAAATATCTACAAAATGAATGAAATAAAACATTTTACCTCTTTTATCTCTTTTAATGGAAGTTCCAACTGGTGTAAAGTCAAGCCAAAAATGCCTGCCTCTGAGGACCCTAAATGATTGCAAAGCATTAATTTTAGTAAACGTAATTTGCCTTTTCCAGTTTTAAAATGGCATTTTCTTCTAAATGCTAATTGAATAGTTTCACTGTTTAACTTACGATGAACACTTACATTAAATGTTGTCATTATTTTACTCATGATATAGGACAATTTTTATGATGACTTTCAGCTTCATAAACTTTGTTTTCTCTTCAGCATAGGACTTCATTTGTTGCATTTTTACCCAAGATATCAAATGTGAAATACATAATTGTGAGATTGAGTAAAAATACTATTTTTTTCCCTGAAATATTCTTTGAACGTGGCATTTTAGAAAAGAAGGATGAACTGGGTGCAGTGGCTCATGCCTGTAATCCCAGCACTTTGGGAGGCTGAGGCAGGTGGATTGCTTGAGCCCAGAAGTTTGAGACCAACCTGGGAAATATAGCAAGATCCATGGTGCGTCTCTACAAAAAATAAGAAATTTAGCCAGGTGTGATGGCATGTTCCTGTAGTCCTGTTACTCAGAAGACCTAGAAGGAAAATTGCTGAAGCCCAGGAGTTTGAGGCTGCAGTGAGCCATGATCATGTGTCACTGCCCTCCAGCCTGGATGACGGAGTGAGACCCTGACTCAAAAAAGCAAATAAACAACAAAAAAAAGAAGGATAAATGAGATTTAGAAAATTTTTGCAATAGAAAAATTAATTTGATGACTAGATAGCTGTTATACACTTGATGAAATTTGGTGACTCTCATAAGGTAATGAATATATTTCTCCATACAAAGTAGTTTAGTACAAATTACCTTTAAAAAGCCTGTATTTATATTCAGCTCTCTGAATGATAATTTAATGATGACGTGGGTACTTCAACTCTAGTTATTCAAGGGTGACATACTGGTCCTTCATATTGTTTACCAACAATGATGTAGAATAGATGGTATTAATGGGTGAATTCAGGTTTTCTGTAAGTTCATAGTTTTTTAATTTAAATGTCTTTTTAAAGTGAGTATAATAGGGAAAGATAACAGATACGGACAGACTGTCTTCAGTACTCTTTCAGAATGTTCATACTTTGTTCAGTTTGGTGTTGAGATCACCTGCATCAGAATCATCTGATTCTACTGCATTCAAATAAAATCTGTAATACTGGGCCCCAAATCTGTGGCATCCAAATCCTGATTGGGTGGGGCTCAATAGTTTGCATTTGGCAAGTTAATTAAGTGGTTATTATATATTATACAGTTTTAGAAACACTACCTTAAATTGTTTTTAAGAATTGAATTCATTTAGCAAAATATATATCAGTTTGGCATTTAGTAACACCCTTTACACCTCAGGACTTCTCATGGTAATTTGACATTTGTTTTTCTTAACTGCGTTTTAGTTCCAATATGTAGGTGAT